CTAATAAAAATGCTTAAACTTCCTTTGAAAGCTAAACGCTTTCATTTGTGATTTGCTCACCTTAATCACCTCAAACTACAAGTTCCCTATTCCAGGGGCCCACAATCAATGTGACCTCCTACTGGCTCAACTTGAACCACACGCATTCATATCTATATCCATAAGCCAATCATACTTTTAGACAAACATTAATTCCTTGAAAACCTTCAACTCCACTTTAATCCACCACCGAAGTGTATACCAATTGCAAGGACCATACCCAAATTCCACTTTAGAATCCGAGTCGAACCCTGTGTGTGTCCGACACCTGGAGGGTGCCGGGCACAAATGACCAAAAAGCCCAGATATACCAAACCCAAATGAAATTCAAGTTCGACTTCTGTCGAAAATTCGGCAGAGTCTCCCCTGCAAGTTGAACATTTCCCAAAAGTTTTCCACACGTATATATATATATATATATATTACATTTTTCATAAGAAAACCTCAACAAATTTTTCAACCCTTCATGATACCCTTTTACTCAGCCACGCCGACAAGGCAATACAACATCAAGAAACGTCCAGCAATTTACAAAAATAAGGATGCACACGTGGTGCTGAGTCTACAGGAAGTTAAACCTAATGCTTTGATACCAATTGAAAGGACTAGACCCAAATTCCTTCCCGAATAAAAAGTCAACTTTTAACCTAATAAAATATTCTAGGGGTATAATGGTCTTTTACTAGAATAAATTAATAATTAACTATTAATTTAGGATCAGGTTGTTACAATGTGAAGGTGAAAATGTCACACATTGGAAATTTGAGAAAGTTAACAAGGGCTTATAAGGTGTTATACTCTAATCCTTAGCCATTTTAGCTAGAATGAGGGAAAAACACAGCTCTAGCAGACTTGCTATCTAGCTTTCTATTTTGGAGAACACCCTATTTAAGTTTGGTGGCTCTCTACATTTGGAGAGAAGGATAGAGAAATTGAGGGTTCCCCATTTCTTCCTCTTCTCTCTCCCTAGGCACGCAACCCCTCTCACCTTTTAATTTTTAATTTTTTAATAAACTTTTAATTTCTCTCTTAATTGAGAGAGAAATAATAAAACATTAGAGATTAGCCAAAGTAGAGAACATTGTTGGAGGAAACTACTTTTAAGTAGTTTGCTATAATGGCTTTCTAGCTATCTTAGTTAAAATTTGGCTAAAATTTGGAGACTCTCATGGAGATGCTTAGGCTACTCCCCCATTGCCAATTGGTTGTGGGGTGAAACCTCAACTTCCTTCATGTTATAATTATTATTAGAAAATTAGATTCTCATTTTTTAATGATATCTAATTTTCATTAAGCATAATTATTAGATTGAATTGATTTTCTTCCTTCATGTTGGCATATTATTACTAAAGTATGAACATGTACATATGTACATTATTGGTTGTAGGCATATTAAGATTAAGTTATGTAGCTAAAAAATTGTACTAACGTTATTTATTCTTACTTTAATAATAATAGTAATGTACCTATGGATACATAAATTTTACAGATGCTAAGCATACAAATATAATCACATAATTCATTTGTATTCTTCTTAAGATACAAATAGAAAATTAAACACTAATAAAAATTTAGCTGAGCAAAATTTTGATACAAATGCTCTCCTCACGAAAGATCCTGAGCTCGAATCCTAACATCATGTAGTGTGTGAGTGTTATCACCCTTCTCAATCGGAGAGGTCCCAAAAAAAAACTAAGCAAATACTGCTTAATATGTTTTAAACCACCGCCGTCCAATTTTGAAACTTTTCCAAGTTGAGCTTTTGTGACAAAGTGAACGCCTGCATAGGATGCATAGGACACATATAATTTCAAACTTAATTATAGTCCAAGGAGGATACACTACCAATTGCGAATATAAACGAGGACATCTGACTCTGCAAAGTCATCTTAGACACATCTCTTTGCTCTTTCAGTCTTTTTGTTCTCTTCATTCTTCAACATCCTCACTCAAAACCACTTTGGTACTTGTTTTGTCATGGAGCTCCGGCTACTCCAGGGTACAGCGGCGGACCCAAGAATTTCCAGTAGAGGTGCAATTTTCAAAAGCTAAGAGCTCAAAAAAAAAAAAAAAAAAAAAAAAAAAAAAACATCCTTATAATTTAAACAATACTAATGTTATTCATAATAAATTCTTTCTCTTAAAGTACCGTTCCATAATTGTATAATTAAAATAAGGATTTTATATCTATACGTATGACTAATTGATTATAATTTATCAATTAAATAAACAAATCAATATCAAATTATCAATTAAATAAATAAATAAAAATTAATTATACCTCGAAATAGCGTGTCACAAGTTGCCCAGGAGTGCTTATTTCGTGTACCGTACAACTACTTGTCAGAAGTTGCATCTGTATGAAAGGATTGGAAGGCGGAGGTTAAGCCACCGGAGTTTCTCCTGCCGAGCAAAGCCGCCGGTTATAGCCAACGCATCGATATAATGGCACAAGCACGGGTTAACATGAACCTGGATGCTAGAAACCCAAAATATCATACTCTGCCGGATTACAGGCTCTCACTCTTTGAACCCAAAATAGCAAGTTGGGCTGAGCTGCCACTGATGATCTCTGGGATTCGTAATGGGTCGGGTCAGATTTGGTTGTGATGGGCGGGTGGGATCCAAACACTAGGGAAGTGTCCAATGTTGTACAATTTTGTTCCAGCCACTTGGCGGCAAGGACATGCCAGGTGTCAAGAGGTCATTTTTTGGATATTGCACTAAAATGCAAGGCCAATTCCAAACAAGTGCCGAGACCCCTTGATGTAGACACTACCAATTGGGATCACGTCAAGGAGGATAGCCGCGCGGCTATTCTATTTATAACATATTAAACGGGAAAAAATACATACCTGTTTTATTCAGAAATTTTTTAACAAATTACAACTTAAAAGTTCGGCCACTATATAATATTTTAATATAATATACTTAAATTTTTAAGATATATTATTTTTATTCAATAATATGTGAGAATTATTTGTATAATACGTGAATTTTATGAAAAATATGTATGTACGTATATATACAATACGAGTATTGTACGTTTGCTTTTAAAAAGCTTGAATTTTACCAAGTCTTGAAAACGTGTACAGAACACTGATGTATTATTGAAAAATACGTACATATGTGTATAATAGATTATTAAACGTGAAAGTGGTAAATTCTTTATACGGGAAATAACTCTAAAAAAGTAAAAAATGAAAAGGGGACAATAGAAACTTGAGTATTAGCAAAATAATAATGGATAATGCTCTAAACTACACTTATCGATAAACAAAAACCGGGGAAAATTTTTTAAGGAAAAAAAGGATCCTCAAAATATATAGATATAAAGAGTATAACCCCTCGGCTATACTATTTTAAAAAATTTAGAAAAAAATCGAGTATAGCTAGGCGGCGATACTATTTATAAAATACTAAACAGGAAACAATACGTACGTGTTTTATTTGGAAATTTTTTGGCAAATTACAACTTAAAAGTTTGGTCACTAGATAATATTTTAATATAATAGATTTAAAATTTTAAGATATATTATTTTTTCAATAATATGTGAGAATTATTTGTATAATATGTGAATTTTGTGTATCTTATTGGGAATTTTGTAAAAAATAAGTGTTTTAAATATGAAAAATACATACGTATATGTACAGTACGAGTATTATACGTTTGCTTTTTTAAAAAGCTTGAATTTTACCGAGGCTTTAAGACGTGTACAGAACATGAATGTGTTATTGAAAAATACATACGTATGTGTATAATAGATTATTGAACGTGAAAGTGGTAAATTCTTTATACAGGTAATAACTTTGAAAAAGCAAAAAATGAATAGGGGATAATAGAGACTCAGGTACTGGTAAAATAGTAATGGATAATGCTCTAAACTACTCTTATCGATAAATGAAAATTGGGAAAAAAATTGAAAAAAAAAAAAAGCATCCTCAGTATATATATATAAAGCGTATAGCCGCTCGGCTATACTATTAACAAACATTAGAAAAAAATCGAGTATAGTCGCTCGGCAATAATTTTTTTAAGAAAATTAATAGAACCAGGTATCACTGCTTGGATATACTATTTTTAAGAAATATTAATAAAACTGAGTATAGCCAGGCTATATTAGTTTAAAAACAAAATTTAAAAAAAACCGAGTATAGCCGGGTGGCTATACTATTTTTTTTTTAAAAAAAAGGAGAAACAGCCTACTGAATAGGCTGCCATGTGTCAAAAAAAGGTACAGCTGCGCGGCTATACGGCTAAACTATTTTTAAAAAAAGGAAAAATCAGAGTATAGCCGCGCGGCTATACAATTTATAAATAAAAAAAGTCGACCAGCCTCGATTAGGTGACCACGTGTCAAATTTTGTATAGCCGGGCGGCTATACTGTTTGTAAAAAGAAACATTAATATGTATAGCCGAACGGAGTATAGCCCCGCGGCTATACTATTTTTTTTAACAATACAGTTTGGCCTCAATTATGTTTTTTTTTTTTTTGGGTCAATGGCCTCAATTATGTTAGCACAATGAGATTGAGAAACAAACACTACCTCTTTGCTCCGAGACCGACTTCCAAAACCCGGTGGAATTATCGATCCAGGCCACACTGAGTATAAACAGAACTGAACCCAGAATTGCAGTGAAGTAAACATTTTTTTTGGTTGATCAAGAAACAACCGGCCACGTGGCAAAAACTTGGTCACTCCCCAAGTACAACCGCAAGATCCTGACCGTAGAAAAAGGAATCTGAGGCGTAGAGTTCAAACAATGAAATAAGGGTTAAAATATTCCAACGGTCGAATTGGATTGACTTGCATTTTAATAAGATGCGCCTGAAAAGAGAGATGGAAGAAGCAGAAATCCTAGAAATCCTAATCGCGGAGGAGGAAGAAGCAGAAGAAGGACGATTCTTCGCATGCTATCTGTTGAGCTCTCGCAGCCCCCGCTACAAATGCCACACCTATATTGGGTACCTTCCGTCTTCCCCTAATTCTTTTTATTTTATTTTTTCAAATTTCTAATCTGTTGAGAATAATAAGATCAATCTTGATTTGAACATTTTCGATCTGAACTTCTTTAAAGTTTGAGACTTTCTTGTAGAGCTTGGAGTAATAAGAGAGCCCACTTGAACTCTGTGCCTTTGTTTGTGCTTATTTGGGTGATTCTGATACAGATTCACAGTGAACCCACGGTCGTATAAGACAGCACAATGCTGAAATAGCGCAAGATGCTTGGAGAACGAAGCGCTTCGTCCATGTGAGATGGTGTTGTGCATCTGTGGTTTCCCAACTAACGTTTCTGCTCTCCAGGTCTCTTCATTTCTTTCTTTTGTTCTCTTTACAATTAACTTGTCTATGGATTGCTCTGTATGATCTGTTTGTGTTTTTAATTTGATTGATTGGGACAAATTTCTTGAGAATTATATTCCGATAATTATTTGTCATTTGAGGATATTTCCAGCTTGATTGAGACCCGTCCTGAGTAGGCACCAATTCTTGGATCAATTTGGGCCTGATTAAGATTTGACTAATTGGGATTGAAGGTTTTTTATTATTATTTTAGGATTGATATTAATTGGAAATTTGGGACCTTCTTTCTAATGTTCCCTTTGGAACTTTGCAGTTTGAATGGGCCTGGCAGCACCCACCTGTATTGGAGGCGGTTAGGCAGGCTGCTGCCAGCTTTAAATCACTGGGAGGGCTTGTCAGTAAGATCAAACTTGCATACACCACGCTCACTCTCCCTCTTTGGCAGAGGTATCATCTTATTATCTTCCTTGTGAGTTGTGAATGGATGAATATACATATGCTTTTGCTGTTATTGATGGAAAGTGATATTGTTTCTATGTATCATCAGCTTGAACATCACTGTAAACTTCTTTTCAACCCAGTACACCAAACATTCTGCTGGTTGTCCACGCCTTCCAGAACAGATGAAGGTCAAAGTCCCCTCCATGGATGAGCTTCCTTCCTGTACTAAACTATCTGTGATGACCTTTTGGAAAATGAAGATGAGTGGTGTCATGAAAGGGAATGTGATGAAGATATGAATTCCAGTACACTAGCCGAAGAAACATTATTGGACTTCAGGACTCATAATTCAGCAGATGATCAGCAGAGTGATAGTGGCAACAGAATGAATGAAGTATATGGATGCAGTAAAGAAGTAGGAGAAGATGAGTGGTATAATGGAAAAGAATGTGATGAAGCTTTGAATGATGGTACATTACAGGAAGAAACATTATTAGATCTTATAGTTCAAAGTTCAGCAGATGATCAGCAGAATGATACTGGCAAGATAATTAATGAAGCATATGGATGCAGTCAAGTAGTAGGAGAGGATTGTACAGAGCAATTTGGTTTTATGGCATCGCCAGTGAGAACGCCATCTTCAAATGTCACTACCTCATTTGACACTGAAGTAACTAAAGATATAGGTTTGTGTGGATCTTCTGATGACATGAGTGCTGATTTGGGCCGACTTGCAAGGGAATAATCGACAGCTATAGTTGCAGACGATGATCAGTCTCCCAGCAGAAGCTATCACCAGCCTTGTGGAGCTGAGGTAATAGATTTGACAACCCCAGCTCCCCTATGCAGAAGCCATTTAATTGGCAAGAAGAGTAGAGTTGCTCCTGTTTATCCTCAGATTATTGACTTGACTGGTTCTCGCAATTTCATCCAACTTTAGAATAGAATGTTGTACATGTCTACTACAAACAATCAAACAAGTGTACATATATGTTTGATGATTTTATGGTTTGGTCGAATAATTTAGAGGAATTTATTGTCATCTTTGCCTGATGGTACATTGTAATCACAATATCTAAAGCCTTCTGGTTCAAGTCTTACAGTTTGAATGAAATAAAACATCTTTTTTACTCACTTGCTACATTTTATTCTGTTATCGTAATATCACATATCATCTGCTCTATGAATTAAGAGACTGGAAGATGTGCTGTGTTACTAATTCTTTGTTGGCATACTGGTGTTCCCAAGTTTACAATTAGTTTTTTCTTCTTCTTTTATCTAAACTACAAGGAAAATCTGAACATATAAAAAGTTATCAAGTATAATTCAAGAGAGCAGCTCCAATATTTGGTCAAATTAACAAATTAAGAGGAAATTTAGGAGACAAATAGAATCAGTTCATTGACAACTCAAAAAGGTACACAATGAAAGAAACTAAAGCCGATCAAAATCGTGGTACAAATATATCATCAATACTCAGTTCTCTGCACGCGTTGAAAATTAGAGAGCTACAGCCATCACTTGTAGAATTAATTCCTTATACACCAACCAGGAGCTGATCTAATATCGCTTGGGACCAGTTAGACAATTGGCTAATTTGGGTTTCACCAATCGGATCAACATCATAAGAGAGTGCATCCTGAAAATTACTTGGGCTCCAAGCTTCACAAAGTAGTTGTTCCATGTCGGCCATCGTATTTTCCTCAAAGATTGTCAGATCAATCGGATCAACATTATAACAGCCCACAAGATCACCGCCAATTGGATTAGAAGAGAATGAATCTGTTGATCCCATCCCATTTGATGATCTTTTTTTATCTTCTTGTTTGTGCTCATCTTCTTTTCTTCTTTATCTTGTGACCCCCACGCTTGAATTTTGTTGCCTTAATCCCAACCCTATCGTTCTTCCTCATCCGACAAAAGACGAAATCAAAATCGTAGCTACGTTGATTCTTGGGACCATCGAAAAGACTATATTCACCTAGTAGCCACCCTGTGTGGTCCTCGGAACCTTTATTCTCGTAGCGAAACTTTCTCTTTCGGCCAAAGGGGTTTGGGTTGGGATTTCCAGAGACCTTTTCAACCAATTTGGAGGATTCAGTTTCGCTCCAAGTACCCCCGTTGCCAACCCTTCGATCCATTCGCTTCGGGGTTAACTTCTTGAGCTTGGAGATGAAGTACAAGTCTGTATCAACGAGTTGCGGCTCTCCGTATTTTTTCCAAATCTCCGAAGGCTCTGTCTTGTTGCCGAAGAGATTGCGGGCATGGAAGATATTGTTGTATAGCGACATGTCTCTACCAAAAACTTATAGAGAAAGGAACCCAAAATCTCTTCATCGGTGGGGCTAACGAAAAACCTAACGGCACAAGAGACTCTTCCATTACATGATGCTGCTAATTAACGAACAAAAGAAAAGAGAGACTAGAAGAGAATTCAACTTTCAAGTGAAGTTTTTGTCTGAATTTCTCTCTGTGTTGTTGCGAACAAAGAGCTCTCACTCACTGCTATTTATAAGTTTCCTTCGCGAGCATCTCACTCACGGAATCTGGAAACTCTTCTTAATTTGAGAGAAATTTGGAGAGTCGGTTGTGGCAATTAAAAAATACAAATTTATAAAAAAACCCAATCTTAAACATGTATTTATAAAAAAACCCAAGCACTATTTAAACATATAAACACACCCAAAACCCATCATTACACATACTCAAAACTCATTTATAAACACACCCAAAAAGTTGACTTTGGGGTTGATTTTGGGTGTGTTTCTATGTTTAAATAGTGCTTGAGTTTTTTTATAAATACATGTCTAAGATTGGGTTTATTTATAAATTTGTATAAAATTTCCTTCGCGAGCATCTCACTCACGGAATCTGGAAACTCTTCTTAATTTGAGAGAAATTTGGAGAGTCGGTTGTGGCAATTAAAAAATACAAATTTATAAAAAAACCCAATCTTAAACATGTATTTATAAAAAAACCCAAGCACTATTTAAACATAGAAACACACCCAAAATCAACCCCAAAGTCAACTTTTTGGGTGTGTTTATAAATGAGTTTTGAGTATGTGTAATGATGGGTTTTGGGTGTGTTTATATGTTTAAATAGTGCTTGGGTTTTTTTATAATTTCAACTCCCATTTTGGGTGTTTTAGTGAAACTCCCATTAAAAAAGTAGTGCCTGTGAACTTTAAACTTTGAGATCCAACGGCCCAGTTAATAGGAACGTTGAGATCCAACGGCTTATTGTGCGAGAGTTAATATAGGGGGGAGAGAGAGAGAGAGATCATGTCCGAATAATAGTTAGCGGGGGAGAGAGTGATAAATTCCATCTTTGTTTTATTTGTTTTTTGTTTTTTGTTTTTTGTGTGCTGCTGCTTCAATTTTTGTTGCTGCATAATTTTTATTTAATGTAGTTGTTGTACACGTATGCATTTTAAGTGAAATAAAATTGTGTTTGTAGAATTTTGATTTTTTTTAATTTATTTTAATTTATTTTAATTTGTTCAGAAAAATAAATCACAAAGGTGTGAGTAAAAATTAACTCCAAAAAAAATCACAACAAGTTAAGAATTAAATCATTTTAAAGCAATTTAATAAAATTTGGGGAAAAAACTATTTCATGAGGTAGGATAATTTGATTTGAGATAATCTTAAATGCTTAGGATTTCATATTCTCGTACTGCTTGCCAATAAATTAATAGAATTGGCTCTCATATTTCATAATCTCTGTTTCATCATCATTACATTTATCTAATGTCATAATTATCTGATATTTCTTTATTATTATTTCAAAACTCCTTCCTTGATGTCAAACTTCTGATTTTTTTTTCTTGACAAGTTTAAGAACATGAGCAACTAATCTTGTTAGCATATATGGGTTAGATCATTTAGAAAAGGCAGTGTGCCCCACCCCTTTCACTGAGTATAGCTATGTGGCTATGCTAAATTTTTTTTTTAATATAAAAAAACAAAAAAATGAGTATAGCCGTGCGCCTATATGATTTATTTTTAAAAAAAAAAAAGTAATAAAAAAGGAGAACCTGCCTAGCGAATAGGTGGCCACGTGTCAAATTAAGTATAGCCATGCGGCTATTCTAGTTTTTAAAGAAATATTAATAAAACTGAGTATAGTCGCATGCTATGCTATTTAAAAAAAAATAAAGAAAAAATTGAGTATAGCCGCACGACTGTACGATTTATTTTTATTTTTTTTTAAAAGGGGTCCTGCTTCTCAATTCGGTGACGACATGTCAAATAGGTATAGCCATGCGGCTATACTACTTTTTTAAATAAACATTAATAAAACAGAGTATAGTCATGCGACTATACTATTTATATAATACTAAATGGGAAAAAATACGTACGTGTTTTATTCGGAAAATTTTTGGCAAATTACAACTTAAAAGTTCGGTCACTATATAATATTTTAAAATATTTTATTTAATTTTTTTAATATATATTATTTTTATTCAATAATATGTGAGAATTATTTGTATAATATGTGAATTTTGTGTGTCTTATTGAAAATTTTGTAAAAATTACGTGTATTAAACATAAAAAATATGTACGTGCATATACAATACGAGTATTGCACATTTGTTTTTTAAAAACCTTGAATTTTACAGAGCATTTAAGACTTGTGCAAAACACGAATTTATTATTGAAAAATACGTATGTATATGTATAATAGATTATTGAATGTGAAAGTGGTAAATAAAAAAAAATAAAAAAAGGGATAATAGAGACTCGGTACTGGCAAAATAGTAATGGATAATGCTCTAAACTACTCTTATTGAAAAAATTAAAAGTAAAAAAAGGATCCTCAAAGTATATATATATATATAAAGAGGCTATACTATAAAAATAAATTAGGAAAAAAATCGAGTATCGCCGCGCGGCTATACTATTTTTAGGAAACATTCATAGAACCCAGTATAGCCGAGGGGCTGTACTATGTTTTAAAAAAATTTAAAAAAACTGAGTATAGCCGTGCAGCTAGTCTATTTTTTTTTTGGCCTAGCGAATAGGCAGCCACGCGTCAAAATAAGTATAGCCACGCTTTTAAAAAGTTTAAATTTTACCGAGCCTTTAAGACGTTTACAGAACACATGTATTATTGAAAAATAAGTACGTACGTTTATAATAGATTATTGAATGCGAAAGTGTTAAATTCTTTTTACAGATAATAACTCTGAAAAAGTGAAAAATGAAAAAGGGATAATAGAGACTCGGGCACTAGCAAAATAGTAATGGATAATGCTCTAAACTACCCTTATCGATAAACGAAAAATCGGGTAAAAAAAAAAAAGGATCCGCAAAAAATATATATAAACCGTATAGCCAGGGGGCTATGCTATTTTAAAAAAATTAGAAAAAAAATCGAATAAAGCTGCGGAGTTATACTATTTTTAAGAAACAGTACTAAAACCGAGTATAGCTGCACGGCTATATTAGCTATAGTTAGACACGAGCGGATGTGCCCGGGTACAGAGGTCATGTTGAGTCAGGCTGTTATTTGGAGATATAAATTCTGGACTGAGTGTTTAGTAAAACAACTTTTTAAAAAAATTTATAAATCGATAATGAGAGGAGGGAATCGAAAACAATACATTGGTAGATGGATAAATGCGCTTAACCATTTGACATTATCACACGAACAAAGCATTCAGCTTCATGTTTAAACCAATAACCTTTGAATCAATAAAAAACGTTTCCTACGCTTCGTCAAGAAAATCTCAAACTTGGTATCTATAATATCATTTGGCCGGAGCAACATAAATTCCCATACTCACAGCACCCTCTAAATTTGAGAAGAAATAAACGAATGAGAATGTCTCAAATGAGAGACGTTATTTGGGTCTCATGCACTTGAGAAGAACGTCTACAAATCTCTTGTACATGTGGCGCTTTAAGTACATCCTCTCTACTTTCTCTCTTCCTTTCAATCCCATTTGCTTCCTTCCATTTGGGCTTTTAAGCAAAAACCGGATATTTTCAGCGAGGACACGAGTTCCGGGATGCCCAACAGGATGAAGCAGACCTGTTACATTGTGTTCAACAATCTCTGTTGTGCCTCCAGCTTCTGTTCCAAGCACCTGCTCCATAAAATGACATCATTCATTTGATTCTATTCAAGGTCCCGTGCACAAAAAATCTAAAGCAGCATGGAAAGGAAGTTGCATTCGAGAGTTGAACTCGTAGAAAATAGGAATGATATTGTACAGACGACAGATAGTAATGCCATTTTGTTTCAAACAGGTATTAATTCTGTACTTCTACACGGTTCATGTTGTTTTAAGAGGAAAAAAAAGGGAAACGCATACAATGCTAATCTGCACAAACAATCACTGGTTTTTCATCATTGCAGCCACTTCAAATTCTATTTCTAATGAAGGATACTTTCACTTAATCCTGATAACCATGTTTATGAAGATGAGCTCCCATCTCCCTATAAATACAGGTTTACTGATCTCAATAGGAGACTTGTTATGCGGTGTCTGTCTGATGGGCCATAACAATTTATACTGTTTGATGGGCCTATTTCTTGGCTGCAGGAACTCCCTAGAATATACCTAAGGTCCCACTGGTTATCAACTAATTTAATTAAGCCTTATGTTCCCCTTTTTTTATTATAGTTTTTTTGGAGTTTGATCTACATTGTTGTTAATTGTAATGACTCATGCTACTGCAGAAGGTGGACAGAAAAGAAAGATTATGCCACACAATAGTCATGTAGCATGTCTTTGCATATGTAGGTTCAGTTAGCGAGACTAAATGTCATCAGTATAACTATCATCCTAGTGCGCCTTAAGATGAGGAATAAAATCAAGTCAGATGTCATACCGGAAGACCGAATGCCATGGCTTCAATTGTCACTCTCCCAAAAGTTTCTCCCAGTCCCTGTACACCATTTTACATATAGTGTTATTTCCAAATAATATAGGATAATGAGTTAAATGAGTACCAAGCATAAATCAAGATTATAAATTCAACTGAAATGAGAAGTGGGGTTACAAACACAAAAAATTAGATTACCAAGAACGGAATCCATGCTTTAAACAGAACAATAGCATTTGGTGGTATGCATACATGCATTATCCCAGATGAAATCTACTAGGGGGTTGAACCAATAATTTTGCAGTTGGATTACAAGAGCCGGGTATTATTATTATTATTATTTTTTGTGTATTTTTTTTCTTGACAAGATCATTGGATTGATATCTACAATAGAATTCATGAATTTGCGATACAGAAGAAAAGTCTGAATACTTGAGAGCAGTCCTTGCTAATACTACAAGGCATATCAAACTTGTGCACACAAGCTGCTCGAAGTTCAATATTTTTCTTTTTGCAATGACCTTATATTAAAAAAAACAAAATCAATCTTCAGAGAGATGGCAAAATCAACCTTATTCTATCAACAATTGTATGACATGATTCATGATCACCTGATTTGTTCTCAGTTAATACCGCCAAAGATACCATCTTCTCATGTGGAAAAGGAAGTTCCATGTGTCTGTCCTCATTTGTGTTACATCTTAAAAAATTAGACTGACAAAATATTTTTATTCAAACAAGCAATAGTACCATACATAGTGTGCTTCTGTTATGACATGGGACTCCACCATTTAAAAGCGTAAAATCACAGTTGAATTTTTTTCTTTCCCCTATTTGAGCATTATATATAATTAATTTAAGAAGCAAAAAACCATAGCTTTTCTCTATGCACTCGTCATAAATAAGAGCACTTAAGACTAAGAAGATGGATCACCTGAGAGTTCATGACATAAACATCAGCTGCAGAGTATAATGCAGCTACACGTGTGGTTGCCGGAGTCCACAACACTGACTTTGACATGTTTGAATGCTGAGATAGGAATCCTAAAAGTTCTTTGACATAAAGCACCTTATTGCTCTTAGATCCAACAGAACCAATAAGAAATTTAACGGACTGTTCCAGTGTTCCTCCATTATCCGACAACACTTTCCTCTTATGAGTGACATTGAAGGTCAAATCACCTGTATCATCAAAAGAGGTATAGAGACTACGTAACCGCAATTTTTTTTTCTGGGGTTCATTCAACTGGACATCAGATTCGTTGGACAGTGGTAATTCATTTGATGATACACCATCATCATTCAACTCTTGAAACAAAGCTCTCAAGTGATGTTTTCTAGCCAAGGTAGAGCGGGCTTGGCGTTTACGTACTGGGTTTTTTATCTTAGAATTATATTTCAGAGGTTCTTCAATCACCAAGCGTGCTGATTCAAGAAGCAAGAGCTGCCCCTTTCCAGGGTTTATACTGCTCAGAGACATCACAAGCATATCATTGTCTGTTAAACCCATTTCCTTTCTGACTGAATCTCGCAATAACTGCCTTTTCTCGAGCATCTTCTCAGTACTAGAAGATGGAGTATTAAGTGAACAACCTATGCCAGCTACAAAGGCCAGCTCATCATTAATAGAGAGTGGTACAACTGCAGGCTGAGACCTCAGCTTAATCTTTTCTTCTTCGCACCAATCTAGCCATTGTTTAGACTGTGATTCTGATAGAAAAGCCAGCATTTTCACTCTGTTAAGCACAACCTTCGCCCGATCAAAGTATTCTCTCCGGTTTTCCATGATCCACCAAGCAATTTGACTTGCACCAGCTGGAAAATGATCCATGTATTGATCTGAAATAAAACGTTTATTGTCTATTAGTATTGTAGTATACCATGATGCATGCAAACGAAGTCAAAGAAAATCAGCTTCACACTTAAGAATGACACTTTCTGTCAATTAATAAAATAGCTAGGATGATTGTCACTTAGTTTAACAGATATTTTAATGACAAGAAAAAACCAATAGAAAATAAAGTGTTAAAAGAAGGAAACCATGTAGATACAAATTAGAAATTACAAATGGAATACTGACTGGAAATTTATATCTGATGCATCCCAGAGAAAAATGGAGGTACAGTTGATTAGTTAATATTATGCACTTTAAACTCTTTGAGATCAGCAAATGCACTGAATTTAAATTCTACAAATTACATTAACGGATTTTTGGAAAATGGTTCTCACCAATCCATGATGCACACACTGCTGACCCGGCGATGACTAGATCTGCCTTCATGGCAGTTTTGAAGCTTTGTTCTACTTTGTCCTCAAGCACCTTGATTCTCCTCCTTGCTAGCTCTGGCATCAAGCCACCCTTCTTGCTAAGAACTACAGCAGAAACCGTGGCTCCACAGCTCAAAAGCTCTGTTGCCAGCTCCATCATAGAAAGTGGAGACCCAGTCATTGAAAGTTCATGGAATATTAATAGAAATCTCCTAGACCAAACAAGACGTGCGAAGTCCCCCTTCCTGTCACAGGTTCCAGACCGCGTTTTAGGACTCCATTCCAAAGTTCTATCTTCTAGAAAGCCAAATGGACCAACAAGCATCCCATAAGAAGTATTTGTCTTAGGAATGTCCAGTTCCTGCTCCTCTGTCTCATGGCCCTCAATCTCCACTGTTTTCTTCTGCTTACCATGCACTTTACCACGTAGACTACGAGCTGATTTTTTACTCCTCTTCTTTGAACTTGCGCTTCGACGAGATGAAACTCCATTCTCCTTTTTTGTCAAAACCACATCTATCCTTTTACCAGCTTTTACCTGATTTTGGTTGGTCTCATTCTTAACTGCCATAGAACTATCACTGGCAAGCAAATCTCTCCTCGCATTCTGTTCAGTGTCTGAGTTTCCATTGCTTGCTTTATTTCCAAACCCCAAGAAGTTCTCCTTGTTGCTATGAGCCCAACTGGACTGAAAATAAAATCCAAGATAAGCCCAAAGGGTAATCAATAACAACCAAAACAATAACCGATTGCTCCGAAACCACTGCACACCTCCGCTGCTTCTAGCTTCTCTCCGTGGAGTTCGGCTTGAATTCAATCTCCGAAATGAAGGAGAATTTCGCGGACTTGATCTTCCTGACAATGTAGACTTAAAACTTCCACTTCCCCTCGATGACTTATAATCTCCCCTACTGCTTTCCTCCATTGGTTTGTTTGACTATTCTATGTCACCAAAAAGCTCAAACCACATTATTTGAAGAACATCTATCACTCAATTTGGTAGCAAGGCCCCTAAGAACACTGCAACTGGTTAACCTCTTACAGTGCTTTGAGTTGCTGCAACAATTAAGAATAAATAAAATTCATTATCCATAAATAGAAGCAGAAAACCCTTGTTCAATCATTGAGAATACTTTTTTTTTTCTTTCTCTTTTCCTAAAATAGATTCCGGAGTCAAATCAGCTGTTGGAATCTTTCTTTATGATCTTAAATAGCTCAAAGATTCAACTTTTAATTTGTCTGAGCTCTATTTGGCGTTCTGAGCAATCAAACAGAATAACTGCATTCAGCATTCTATGTTACACCAAAATATAAAAACCTCACAGATTCATCCATCGTTATTTTAGCATCCATACATAGCTATCTATGAAGATTGTACCATTGAAAAACTTAGTTTTCCCTACTAAAAAATAACGCAGGAAAAAAAAATCAAAGACCCAAAATTTCATTTTTAAATTTTTTGTATTCTACCTTTCCAGCATTGTATTCGCAATGAAACACAGCCAAACAAAGAAAGAAACCACTCGGGCTTAAAACTTATTGAGAAAGATCAACTAACTTTTTTGTATTCATTTTCTTTCCCTCCATTTTCTCGGAAGCGACTCCAAGAACTGAACCAAACCACCCAAAGACTCGCAGATCAACACTTAACCAAGATATAATGCAATTTTTTCAAAGCTCATTCATCGTCAAACCTCACAAAGAAAATATCTCAAATAAAAGGAAATCAAAAAGATTTCAATCTTTGCTGTTTTCTGTTTTTACAAGATTCACTGATTCAGTTATCAACTATGAACTTCAGGGCCGAGAGATAACTTACATGGATTTATCGCATGCTCTGCCCTCTGAAGCTGAGACTTCAAGATCTCCAAGTTCTTGAGAGAAAAATATAGAAGTTGGAGAGAGAGAGAGAGAGTCAGCGAGTGAGTGAAAATGGAATGGTTAAAGGGTTTTAGAGAGAGAGAGAGAGAGCGTTATTATGTCTGAACTCTAAATTTCAACAGATTTTGACGGTACGTGCGAGTCAACCCGTGTAAACTAATTCAGAAGCAAGTCTGGTGTGATTCCCTGCGGCAACGACTATTTTACGAACATGCGTTCGTGTCCAACGACTGCAAGATCGATTGCTTCGGGCCACGTGGACCAGCTTGCTTAGACAGATGTTTCGAGATTATTGAAGTTGACCTGCTTTGAAGAAAATTGTAGGCTGGAGGTCCCATGGTGGCGTCGGTGGGTCTCACAGCCAATCCTGGCCCTGCGATTTATAATGTCATTTCTGATTATTTAATTTCTTTTTGGACCCAATGCTGACCCCAAAAGACTTAATTTTTTATTTTATCTTAGTGTTGTATACTATTGTTGTTATTTTTAATAAATAAAAAGCTTATTATCACAAAAAGTTCACGATGTTTGCAAAACTATCAGATTGTACCTTTAGAGTTTTTTTGTATCACTCATGATCTCTAATGTTAATATGGGCATTCATAAGTAGTCCATCTGTTAAAAGAACTGTTAAATCCCCAATTTTACGGGGGATAATCGTCAACTCCTATTGTATCATCAACCTCCACCTCTTCTACATCTGTATCTTGCTCATAGTTGCTATCTAAGAACTCCGTATCATCTTCTTCATCATCTTCATTTTCACTAGC